TCAAAGGCAATTCATCCCTAAAAGGAAGAAATCTGGCAAAAATGCCAAGACACCTATATGGATGAACAAGGAACTCCTGGCCAAAATCAAACACAAAAGAGAATCCAGAAATTGTGCAAGTAAGGATTGATAACGTGGGATGATTACAAGGAGATTGCTTGTGAAACTAGAAACGAGGTTAGAAAAGCTAAAGCCCTGACAGAATCAAATCTGGCTAGAGACATTATAAAAAAAACAGAAAAAGACTCTACAGGTATGTGAGAGAAAAAAAAAAAACAAAATGAAGAGAGAATGTGGGGTCTCTCTGAAGCAATACAAGTGACCTGGTTACCGAAGATATGGAGAAGGCTGAAGTACTCAACAACTTTTTTTCTTCAGTCTTCACTGGTAACCACTTGAGCTGCACCACCCAAGTCACAGAGCGCACTGGCTGGGAGAATGAAGAACCACCCAGGGTAGGAACAGATCAGGTCCAGCAACATCTATAGAACACCTGAAGGTGCACAAGTCCATGGGACCTGATGAGATACATCCATGGGTCCTGAAGGAACTGCCAGCTGAAGTTGTTAGGCCACTAGCCATCATATTTGAGAACTCGTTGCACTCTGGTGAAATTCCCACTTCAAGAGGAAATATAACTCCTGTTTTTAAAATGGGAAGCAAAGAAAACCCAGGGAACTACAAACCAGATAGCCTCGCCTCTGTGCCAGGTAAAATCACGGAGTAGATCCTCCTGGGAGCTGTACTAAGGCACACGAAAAATAACGAGGTGATTGGCGACAGCCAACATGGCTTCACTAAGTGCAAATTGTGCCTGACTAACTTGGTGGCCTTCTGTGACAGAGCTACAGCTCTGGTTGATACAGGGAAAGCAAATGAAGTCATCTCCCTGGACCTGTGCACGGCATTTGACACTGTCCCACATGACATTCTTGTCTCTAAGACGGAGACATGTGGATTTCATGGATGGACCACTCAGAAGATAAGAAACTGGCTAGAAGGTCGCACTCAAAGAGCTGTGGTCAATGGCTTGATGTCCATGTAGAAACCAGTGGCATGTGGATTTCCTCAGGGCTCTGTTCTGGGTCCAGTGGTTCAACATCTTTGTCAGTGACATGGACAATGGCATCGAGTGCACCCTCAGCAAGTCTGCCAACGACACCAAGCTGTGTGGTGTGGTGGACTCACCTGAGGGCAGAGATGCCATCCAGAGGGACCGTGAGAGGCTTGAGAAACGGGCCAGTGCAAACTGCATGAGCTTCAACAAGTCAAAGTGCAAAGTCCCACACCTGGATCAGGCCAAACCCAGGCTCAAATACAAACTGGGTACAGAGTGGGTTGAGAGTAGCCCTGAAGAGAAGAACTTGCGGGTGTTTACACACAAGAAGCTCAACATGAGCCGGCGGTGCGCTCATGCAGCCCAGAAAGTCAACCCTGTCCTGGGATGAATCAAGAGGAGAGTGGCCAGCAGATCAAGATCAAGCAGATCAACATCCAGTTCTGATGTCTCTGCCATAAGAGGGACAGAGATCTGTTGGAATGAGTCCAGAGGAGGGCCACAAAGATGATCTAGGAGCTGGGTGCTTGGCCTCTGCTATGAGGACAGGCTGAGCAAGCTGGGATTGTTCAGCCCGGAAAAGAGAAGACTCTGAGGGTACCTTATAGCTGCCTTCCAATATCTGAAAGAAACCCACAGGAAGGCTGGAGCAGGACTTTTTACAAGAGTGTCCAACAACAGAACAAGGGGTAATGGATTTAAACTGAAGCAGAATAGGTTTAGATTGGATCTTAGGAAGCAATTCTCGAGTATAAGGGTGGCAAGACTCTGGAACAGATTGCCCAGAGAGGTTGTGGATGACTCCTCCCTGGAAATGTTCAAGGCCAGGTTGGATGAGGCTTTGAGCAACCTGCTCTAACCATGGTAGGGAGGTTGGATTAGATGATCTCTAAGGTCCCTTCCAACTTAAGACATTATATGATTAGCATGTAAATCAGACTTGTAAAAAATGGAGAAATTGGTTTACATTTGAAATGTGATTCATCACAGAACAAACTGTGAAGTGAATGTGTTTCAAAACTACATAACAAATAAAAACTCAAGAGAAATGAGATATAAACATTCAGAAAAGTAGTTCAAAGGAAGGAGAAGGCATGTTTTTAAAGGGACTTCACAGAAAATATGGCTACAAGTTTTTAATCCAAGGAAAGGCTCTGCAGATACAAAAGTATACAACTAAGGATGCAGAACTGGTACATATTTTCTTACCTTCATAATTGTTCTGTTTTATAAAACAATCCAATAAAATATTGAATGTAAAATTATCTGGGAAAATTCCATACTGAACCTGCAGAAGGAAAGAAAAAAATCAGTGTGAAAATCTGCTCTTCAAATATACCTGCAGCATAGTGCTGCAGGTATCAGAAAGATCAGAACTGCACACTGCTGCAATGTGACAGTTGGTCAAGCAACACAAGCAGATGTGATGTAGGCATTTTAACTTTTGATATACCGGATTTGGTTTTTGGCATTTTATCTGAGCCTCTGGGAACAGGAGGGGCATTTCCTATCAGGTTTTTATGCCTCTTCTGCATTTAGCATGATTTCAACACCAACACTGTTTAAAAATAAAAAGGTCCCTGAGAAAGAACTGGAAATAAAAGCTGTAAAGAGCTTTAGCTAAAATTCAAGTGCAACATTAAAAAAACATTAATATTCGTTTTGACAAAGAAATATCTAAATTTAAAAACACAGTATGCATGACCAAGCTGCAGCAGAAATTCTTGGTAAGCTACACGTCTCAGAAAACCAATCAGATATATTCTTGTCTTTTCCTTTAAAAACTTACCTTGTTTTTTAACGTGTATAAGGCTTTGTCTTGTGCACCATACTTTAAGCACTGTCTGATCCAGCTGTGGATGGTCCAGTCCCTCAAGTACCAGCAATTTGGACTATGCCGAAACCTAAAGAATGACAAATGGTCCAGGTGACAATAGGACTCTTTGTTATCACAGAAACAAATTCCGTAATCCACACATTGAGATTGAGAACACATGCCAAATATACATCTGTTTGTATTTGGCTTAGCAGTCAATCACTGCTCCCCAAGTAACTCCAGTTAGCCCTTTCTGGTAAGAGCTACGAAACTTCAATGTCATGTACAAAGGGAGAATCTGACCTTTTCACAAATGCGTATTATTTAGGAAGGCCAACTGAGATTGCTATAAACACTGTAGTACTTGTCCTTCTGATTGTATAACAGAGTGTTGTTGCCAGTTTCATCAAAATGCAACACTGCTCAATGACTGATGACATCAGCAAGTATCAGAATTACATCGAAATACAGCCCGGTCTGAAATTTTGGAGCTTGTGTAATTTGTTGTCTCCCACCCTCTCTCACTCATGCCTCACTTCAACTATGTAAGAATTCACTGTGGCTCAGTGCAGGTCATCCCTGGGCTGCTGCATGCCTCATTTGCTTTAGAAACCCTTCATCAGTGTCTGAGGCACACCTCACGCAAGGGAAACTGCTGGAGAGCCCTTCCCTGCCCTCCTGCACCAGTGCTGCCTTGTTCCAGACTGGTGTTGCTTTAACCTTATGCCATGGCTTCAGCAGTCTTCCTAGTCTGGCCCTCAACCAATTTGTAAAACTAAATACTTTTAAGTTTAGCCTCTTTTATTTCATTCTTATTCAGACATACACACTTTGCTCTGCATTTGGAGAAGCAGTGACAAAAAGCATATGGAGCTTTACCTTTGGCAAGGACTCAAAAACCAATTAAGACTCCAGTGGTTGGAGCTGGTGCCTTGGTCCTGGGCTGAATTTCACACCCTGGTGTGAAGAGATACATGGAACCTTTCTCAATTCAGACTGTATGCATGAAAATGGGCTCAGTCCCCAGCACAGAAGTGACTGCCACTTCCTATAGAAAATGCCAATGACTGAGCCGGGCTCATGTGCAGATGCTTGCAGCCTCAAGCCAAGCTGCAGCACCATGTAGAGGCAGGGTTGGCTCTTCCATCCGAGTGAGCATGCTTTCCAGAACATTTATCAGATTACCATGACCACCAATTGTCATCTGCCCTCAGTGAATCTCTGCGTATTGTATCCCATGGCTGAGGGCTACTCAGACGACCAAGCCTGGAAAAATACTGCAGCCTAGAGAGCCTTCAGGATGCAGAAGACATCCGTGCCAAAAACCAGAACTAAACTATTATACAAAGTCTAAATTTACAGTTTTTTACGTGGTACATGAAATCTCCCCATTGAGTTAAAATTTAACATTTAAAGAAAAGCACGCTTTGAATAGTAAATGACAAACATTCATTTAACTGCTTTCCATTTTCTTCCCTCTAGATTTCAAATACTGAGAACAACAAGAACATGTATTTGCTTTCATTAAAGTCCTGTTTCAATAATACTCACAGGAAGCATCAATTACAGGCATTTGGATATAATCATATTTTGATGAAACAATTACCTAATTGCTACAGCCTGTTTCACCAGCCATTTAAGACAGGTCAGAGTGCAACACCAGTATTCAGCAATAAAGCTGCCAGTGTCGTGTAAAGTTGCTTCATTAAACAGTTACTATTGTTTCACAAGTGGAAAACTACAGACTTGTCTTTCAAAAACATGACACTGATGCTCTCAAACACTCAGGCCTTTCTTTTGATAAAATGTTTGGCATCATTCCTACTAATTAGTTACACAGGAGGGAAGCAAAAAAAAATAAAAATGGTTTTAATGGGTCTGAATATTCACCGTTTTTTGCAGAGCTGTATTTATTCTCCTGAGTACACTACAGTGAGAGAGAACACTTCAATACCTCCTGCACCATGGGAATGCTACAGGCTACTGTAATGGTAAAATCCATCTAGATTGCAAAGTCAAATTGCACTCAGACAGTAAAAGGCCTAACAGGGATGCAATGTGGTCTTGAAACAGGATGAAACTGATCTTCAGCCAGCACAAGTTTCTGCAATTGATATGAACAAAATGCAGAGGCACATTTAAAAACGTTTAAAAAATATTCATACTAATTTGAGAGTGTGTGTGTGTATAGACAACCACAGTATCTATGAGATATAATTACTGTATGTTATTACTAAGACCAAGTCTCCACTGCGCTAGATACTATGCAAATAAAAAGCAAACAGCTTCTCAGCCAAAGAATTTCATTAGTTAATTCTAATAATTTATTGCAAAACAGTTGCCTGGGAATGAGAAGAGGGGACTGGTGCCAAAATTCTTCTGTCTCCATGTCAACAAGAATGCAATACATATGCATGTACACGATCTCTTAATGCTACGCATTTCCATTAATTCATGATGCAGCAGAAGGAGAATTGGAAATGAAAGGGAAACAGGTACGCAGCAAACTTAATTATTTCCGATCCGTATAATGCAAGGTTAAGCTCCATCTCTACTAGCTGAGAAGAGAAGGCAACAAAGTATTTGTTTTTAGAAATAACCTAAACAAACTAACCAAAAAGTGAATCAAGGAATAGAGGAGATTGCTGGTCATTTTGATAAGTACTAACATCTGCCTCCTCCTCTTTCTCCACAGAACACAAAACAGAATATAATTAAGCAACGCAATATGTCCAGGGACAGACGAAAAGACAGAAGGAGGCTAAAGCCAGAAAGCAGAGGATTCCGAGTGAATTAAATAAAGGAAGTGTCTAGCAATTGCTGTGTGTTTAACGGTAAGACTAGGAGGATATCTTACAGACATCTGCTGCTGAAACTCGTATTTCTGAGAACCCATAAAAATCTGAGAAGCACAAAATTCTTATAATGCGTTCAGAAAAGACCAAGAGACGCATCCGTAACAGCATTAGGGGAGCTCCCTGTTGGTGCACTTTAACCTTAATTACTAAAGATTCAGTACGGTCATCCTTTCAGTCATTGAACTAAGAACATCTGTCCCCACAGGAAACAAGAAAAAGAATATCTGTAAGACAAGGAGTTCCTGAAATATCAAGGTCATTGTGAATCTAACAGCATTCAGTGTAATGGTACTAGAATTCCCCTTACTTTAGAAAATGTTCAAACGGTGCAGTACATCAACTTCACTTTCATTAAACCATTGTTTTGTACTTGCAAAATTATTATAACTTGAAAGAGACAGAGCGAGCATACAGCCTCAGTACGAGGCAACCAGAATATTTTTAGCGAAGCCAGCACACACTCGCTCATAAACTGGACAGCACCTTAGGCTATGAACGTGCTTGTAGTCTATTCATTTACCGCACAAGGCCCTACTGTTCATTATTCCTAACAGTGCTGAAGTAATCATGCTGTGATAAAGAAAGTGAACAAAGGAAAAGTTTAGCAGATGTTGAAATTGCTTTATGGAGTACTCTTCCAATACAGCAAGCATGACTTACTTCTGTTGGTGCCCTTCCATACTGCAAAAAAGCCAAGCTGCTTCTCTTCCTTATTTTAAATGGTCCTTTAAATTTGTTTAGTGCCATCAAGTGCCGATGCACTCCAGTGCTGCTTTCACATACCTTGCATGCTCAGAGGAAGTAATACAGCAACCCTGAAAGCTAGTAGAAGTACCAAGATACAGAGCTGCATCTCTTCCCTCTTTTGGTACAGGGGAGTTCATTGCTTTGGGGACGATCTCAAATGAGGAAGATGGAGAAGGAAAATTTGCTGTATTAGAGAAGAGCAAGTGCTGCAGAAAGAATATATTACTAGAAACAGCTCTGCCGTACAGAGGGAAAATCAGCTCAGCAGAGCTCTTCTAATTCTTTGCTAAACTGATCAGTAGCTTCCATTTTCTATTCTGTGGTTTTCTTAAAGGTCAGGACAATTGCTGGTAGAGCCAGAGGATATTGTTGTGCCGTACACTATTTCTACTCTTTTCCCAAAAGGAAGAAGAGACCTCTTCCTTTCTCTAACTTTGTCGGACTTAATGAGAAAGAAAAGTATTTTGAAATGATCAAAACGTCCAGTGCACAGAAGTGCACGATCTCTTAGACCTCCAGATTTCTTCAAGACTTTCTCAATTTCACCTGCATTTTGCTTTGCTAATTTTGCATTACCATATACAAATGAAGTCCTTAAATAAAACCACTTGTGCTATAATGTTCTTCTCTATTTTCACACTTTAGAGATTTCTGTGCCATCTGCCACATTGCAAGGAATTGGAGAAATGAACAGGACACCGAGCAATTGCCACTGTTCTATTATTTATAATGTACATCACTTAGATGTGTTATTGTGCTTTTCTCAGAGTTAAAACCAAAAAGGTTCCTTCTGTTGCTAGTCCCCTTGTAGGATCTAGTCTAGGAAATGAAGGAACCTACCTAGTGGTAGTCACCGTAACAAAATTCTTCCACCTACACTTCAGATCTCTTTTACTTCTTTTAGAATTAGAGAGAAATATGTATGTTGATTTGCTTTAATCAGAAGGGAAGAGTGCCAGATTTCTTCTCATCCACATAAAACTCTAGAAAGTGCTGAAGCAAAATGTAAGAAGACTTAAAATGAATAAGTATAAGAAATGTCTCTGCATGCCAGGAAGAAGCTCTTGCAATGGAATGAATCCAAACTTGACATTTTACACAAGTCATGCAGAGCTGTGAAGCTCCTTGGCAATGCCAAGTTTTTTTCTTCCCAGGCACATTTTTTAAGCTGCAGTGCATAATGATTAGATGGATTCCATGCAGGCTTAGCTTGGAAACTGGAAGGCTAAGGAAACATCACCCAAAACTCTCCCTTTGTTTGTCATTTCAAGCCACAGGCCTGGGGAAAAATCATCTGCATTTTAAATGTACCCAGAGGCATTGCTCATGTGTCAGCGTCAAAGGCAACAGCCCTGAAAACAATCTTTGTTGATTGAAAGTTCCTTTTAAACATGAACAAAATGTTATTTTTCCATCTCTTCTTTGCCTGCATCTTAGCTTACACCTTTCTTTGTATGCATAACTAAAAAATTTCACATACAAACATATCAGTCCTCTAAGAAGTACCTCATGCATTAACT